TGTGTTTTTACTTATGAATAGTTAAATTATAGGTAATTGTATATATGTCAAAGCCAAGTTCACTTTTAACAGTTTGAAAAAATATTTGGGCATTGAGTGTAAATGACATTCATTATTATTATAAAAGTTTTTTTGTATTTCCCAATGAATGAATGATTGTGAAACAAAATGATATTGTTGCTTTCACTAACATTTCACTATTTAATGCTGCTGCTAATAGCTTTATCAAAGTATCAGTAAACCAGAATTTACAAAATCTCAGCTTATATATAAATAAAAACTTAATCATCGTTCATCCGCGTAGCGTCATTTTTCCGTTGTCAAGTTGGCCAATTAAAAAGTTTGAAAAATCATTAGTCAAAGGTTCACATGCTATAAAATTGGGTCAGGTATGTAGATGATACTTTTTTAGTGCTAAAACGAGATCTACACACTTCATTCTTGAAGAAAATAAACAAGCTATGTCACAGAATCCAGTTTACTTCAAAAGCAAAATCAGACGTCGGTGAACTACCATTTCTAGAGTGTCTGGCTAGTTAAGAGGAGGGAAAACAGACATTTTAGTATATCCATATTCAGGAAGAAAACCCACTCTAACAAATATTTAGACTTCGGATCATCACACCTCATCAGCGCAAAAGTAGCAGTTGTTTCAAGTCTTCTTAGACGAGCACACTTTTTGATAACGGATGAGAGAGGAAAACGAAGAGGAAATATCAAACACTGCTGAAACTCGCAAGCAGAATGACTACTCAAACAATTTCATCAATAAAATGAACACTAACAATTGATAAATGGTTGGAAATGCTTTTCGAAGGCGTGGACCTCAACAGTTGTCATTCCATACATAGCAGAGACGTCAGACGATATCAGGAGAGTTTTCAACAAGCATGACATCAGAGTTTTCTCCAAAAGAAACATCGAACTCACAGACTACAAAGCAACCTTGTCCATGTATAAGATACAATCCCCAAGAATTCTCCACTCTAATTGTGTCTATAAAATGAAATGCTTGGAATTTGATGTGATATACATCGGGCAAACATCGCCAGGGAGAAATCAAAATCAGAAGAAATGAATACCGTAGACCCGACTCTGTTCGACCACCTAGAAATCCAGTTATTGAACTAGAAAAGCTTGAAAAATTATCAGCCATAGGTCGTATACACGCTACGCCATAGGGTCAGGTGACAAAATTGATTTTGACACTATTGAAATTATCATCCAGAGAAAGCGTTTCAGAAATCACAAAGAACGTCTAATATCATCAGAAGGGCTTGATATCGAATGGAACCCAAACTGTCTCGTGAATAGCGGTGATGATGGACTAAAACAGAATTTGACCTGGTTACAACACACCCCTCCCCTATGAAGTGACAAAATCAACATGAATGTGATAATCAATTTCATTATGTAAACGCACTCTGCTTTTGTATTATTTTATATACTTAATAAACCCAACAATCTACACCTGCTTTTTTTATCTTTACCAGCTTAATTATGGGACCAATTTAGTAAATAGACTATCATTTAATTGCAATCATCATAACAGGTTATGCTCAGCTGTCACTGTTAATGACTGATAAATAACTTTGCATTCAACACCACTCACTCCCTTAGCTACATCAGCCACAATTTTTCTATCCTGTCAATTGTAATAATACGAGACTATGAAAGGATGAAAGCAGCTTGCTTATTGGTTGAGTGTTTATCTGAGATGGCTATGAATTGATAGACTACTGATGCTGTTGACAATTAAAGTAGTCACGTATATTACGTCAATAGTATAATCTATTAATCCAAGGCCATCATAGATTATCTCACGAAAAAAAAAACACAACAATATCATTTGACATTTTTGATAGCAACTGAATTTTGATCATATAGATGCAAGTTTTATCTATTATGAAAGTTATTAATTTGAAAGACACTAGTTAGAGAAACATTGGAAAACCTGCCGGGAGTACTGGACAGCTGTTTCGTCCTAGTTTGCGACTCTTCATCAGTGCGCACCCACCGGCGTTTGAACCCACAACCTTCTGGTTACAAGGCGAGCTAGCTGGTAGACCATTGAGCAACTAGGACGAAACAGCTGCCCAGTACTCACAGGTTTTCCAGTGGTTTTCTATCTGATGTCAGCTCATGACAGGAATTGAAGTTCATGGTCAGTTGGGTCGCGGCCAAGTGATTGAATGAGTCTACCAGTTCACCTTGTTACTAGAAGATCGTGGGTTCGAACCCCCTGTGGATGCGTGCCATTGAAGAGTTCCAAACTAGGATGAGACAGTTGTTCAATACTCCTTGGTTTTCAGTGGTTCACTAGCCTATGTCAGCTCATGATATCAAACCTGTAACCGATCAAATCCCAGTAAACCAACAATTGATTATCTGAAATAAACCGATATCCACTTTTTAGCTGTGAAACTTGTTAGAATATATGTGAAAATGTTTCCCTTTTCTACAAGCACATATTATTTAATATGGAAATTCAAATTACAATATACATAGATATCTCTATTTGGGTCATAGGCGTGTACTATTGAAGAGTCTCAAATGGGGACGAAATTTTCTAAGGCGTTTTCAATAGTTTTCAAGTATTGGTTTTGTAGGGATTTTGTTTGATTGCATGGAGGATTTAATCATGAGCTGACATCAGTTAGAGAACCACTGGAAAACCTAGGAGTACTGGACAGCTGTTTCGTCCTAGTTTGGGACTCTTCAGCAGTACGCACCCACCGGGATTCGAACCCAGGACCTTCTGGTTACAAGGCGAGCTCGTATACCATTGAGCCACTGGGACCCGATCCAATGGTCCTTGAATTCTAACTTCTGCCAATTCACGACATAGCGCGACCACTTCGCAATGTCTTCTTCGATGAGTTACTGCCTCATCTTCAACCTGCTGTACCCTACTGGTCACGGCTTCCCACTAGAACCCCAGGTTAACTGCCTGAATAGGGCCAGTCACTAGTGAGCACAGATTAATTTTCAAGTATTGGTTTTGTAGGGATTTTGTTTGATTGCATGGAGGATTTAATCATGAGCTGACATCAGTTAGAGAACCACTGGAAAACCTAGGAGTACTGGACAGCTGTTTCGTCCTAGTTTGGGACTCTTCAGCAGTACGCACCCACCGGGATTCAATAGTCCTCTGCTTGATTTCATTTCGTGATCTAATTTAAAATGTAAAAGCTGTCAACTGAATTTGTCTAATTTCTTCAATTCTTCTTATGTATTTTATCTGAATCAGTAGTAGCTGAGTGGTAGTTATGATTGAATACCCTAAATCTATCTTATTTTGTAACTCGTCGTCACATATCGTGTGGAACTTGTCTCTTTTTTTCACTAGTCAATGTATATTACAGTAGTGATACTATGTATATGTGGTAAATGGAGTGGTCCCATGCCATGAATATCCTGCTTGGTTCTTCAGTGTGTCGTATATCCTGGATGACCACAAACCAGGGATATACAGCTGTCCAGTACACCGTGATTCTTAATGTTACCCTGTGCGTTGTTATTTCAAGGTTGAACTTGAGATGTAATACCTTACAGTACATTGTTAGACTGACGATTACGATTATTCTTAGACTTCGACTTATTACTATTCCCTTACAACAGACAACAATCAGCATAAATGGGGGGGACCTGAAAGAAATAACCTCCATCACCTGCCTACCTGGGAAGCATCGTTTCAACTGCAGGCGGACAGAACTGATGAGGATATCAAAGCTAGAATCGGAAAAGCAAGACAAGTTTTCAATACTCTCAAGTCTGTGTGGAGGTCAATAGCACTCAGCATTAAAAAGAAGATCTGGATTTTCAACTCCAGTTTAAAGCCAGTGCTACTATGCGGATCAGAGATTTGGCCAGTGTATCATAAAGAGCATCTCAAACAAACTACAGACCTTCATCAACAGTTGTCTTCGCCCCATACAACTCAAGATCAGATGGCCGGCCAGAAAAGATCAGCAACAGGGAGGGATCTCTGGGAATGAGCGAACCAACTCAGCAGGAACCGATTGTGAAACAAATAAGCAGGAAGAAAAGGATATGGATCGGTCATACTGAGGAAACCATCAAGTGACATCACTAGACAAGCCATTGCTCGAGTGGAACCTGGCCGAAAGGGAAGCGGCGAGTTGATGGTCAGTGAGAGGGTGATATGGAGTGGAGGGGATCATGGGAAGAGGAGATGAAACCATGTGAGCAGACTTGGAGCGGGGTGAAAAAGATGGCAGAAAATCAAAAGCACTGGTGACGCGCAGCTGAAGCTCTATGTTCCTCCAGGGACTAAAGGATAAAGTAATAATAATACTATTCCCTTAGGTTCCAGGTGGAAAATAGGCCCTCAGCAGCACTTCTCTATTTCATCCTGTTCTCGATAGCCATATTTAACTGGTTCCATGACTGCCTATATGCTCTTTGATGCCTCCTCACACGACCTTCTTCTCATGTCATTTTCGGATGTCCAACTTGTTGTTTCCCTTTCAAGTTTTGTGCTTGATCCTTAAATTCAAATTTCATTTGCATCTCTATAGTTCGTCAAAAAACATAACTAACCCTTACAAACCAAACTATAGAATATTAATCTGATGCTCGCTTGTGGCTTGCCACAGAATTGAGTTTCCTGGAGTTCTAGTGAGATGTCGTGACCAGTGAGGTCCATCCAGATGTCACGTGTGAGGATGGATGTCCCACCAACGATATTGTTTGGGGTCGCGGTAAATCACGAATTGATAGAAGTTAGAATTCATGGACTAGCCAGTGAATTGGGTGGGTCCCAGTGGCTGAATGGTATACGAGCCAGCTTGCTGTGTAACGAGAAGGTCCCGGGGGTTCGAATCTGCATCTCTACTAAAAACAACATTTATGCTATTGAGATCATTGCATAGTTCTGACATCTTTTTTCTTTCCATGGAATTATTTGTAACAGTGAATTATGATGTTGCTTATTGTATTCCTATGTTATTGTTTTCTTTTGTTGGTTTCCTGTTTAGCTCCAGAAGTGCTGAGTGTCAGTGAAGGGAATTCAGGTTATGGTAAAGAAGTCGATTGTTGGGCTATTGGAGTGATTGCCTATATTCTGTAAGTTTTAATTCGTTGCTAACAAATTATTCTGCTCTTCTTTGAGGCGACAGAATAGTGTCTGCTAATATTTTGCTAAAATAATCTTTAAATTTTTTTGCGGTGTTTTTGAAAGGATCTCAACAAATTATTCCTTTCGGGCTCCGATAGAAACGTCGGTCTTCAACAACACATCTCCATTTTACACTGTTCTCCGTAGTTCCTTTTGAGCTGGTTCCACGGTTGCTGATGAGCCTTTATTTTAGCATCAAACGAACTCCTCCAAGTCACTCACTCACTCTGTAACTCAAGCCCAACTGGTCACTTCCCGTTTTGGGTAACTCTTGAGCTGTGGCCTGGCCTTAATTGTCATTCGACGGTCTTCAGTCCATCTTCACTTTCTTTGGAATATTTGTTGAGTAACTGGTTCTTTTGTTTGGTTAATTGCCTGACAGAGTTACTTGTTACTGATCTTTTTTGACAGGCAGTCAGAGAAGTAAGCTGTTGATAATACTCTGCAACCAATTGTTGGAAATGCTTTTGGTGACGCACTAAGTTTCTGACCCCAGAGTATACTTGATCAAATATGATAACTGATTGTATAGAACACGTCAATGGTTCAACTTTTGTTACAGTGTGTTAGCAGCAGCTGAAATTACCTGGTCACCTAGAAATTGTCAATATAAGTTTAGCAGGTATTAGTCAGCGTATGCACTTTAAACAAAAACTAATGAACGATGCTACAAGGAAGCGACATTTGAAATCTTATGTAAGATTCCTAATAACTCTGGAAATACGAAGTCATTTAAACCCAAAGGCTCAATTGGAGGCGTATTTTGTCGTCTTAAAGATCCTACAGACGTAGCAAGATAAAATAAACTAAATCTACCAGATACCATGCAATAACTGTGCAGTCAAATGTTGTATGAGTCAAAATGAAAGAGCACTGGATCAATTAGCTAGTTTAATAGAACAGAAATATAGCAAGCCTTAGAATGAAAAAACCTTGCTTAACAGTCTACAGGGGAACTCATTCATCCTTGGAATGCATGCGCCTGAATGATATCTTGTACAATAAAGTAGGATAAGGTGAAAGTATTAAAAAGTAATGTAGTTAAGTGAGGGTGATGAACCAGTCATTATCCTGAATGAATCGGCAGTAGCGGCTGTAATTGCAACACCAGGGGTAACACCAGTTCCAATCTCCGACGGAAGAATCAGTTGTTTTCTTCCAGAGATAACAGACACTTCATACTAATGAATTGCCAATAAGCATAAAATATGTGTCCAGGTAATCCTGTCGGTTGCCTCCAACTACTTAACACAGAAGCGAAGTACACCATGATGGAGAATCACCTAGGATTCAACTAGCACTAAAATCAAGGCTAGATACTTCACATCAAATAGACTTCGTTACAAGCATACAAAGATGTGCGCTTGAGCCAGACAGACTTCTTTCCATAGAACAACGTGAATGCTGTCCATTTTTCACTTAGTAGTTAGTGAGCAGCATAAGACATGAATGAAGATATCAATTTTATCGATCCACAGTTCAACGACAAACAACTCGTAACTCAGTAATATATAAAACTAACGGGGTTGAGTAGAGCTCAGCTAATTAATTAAAATTGAACAAAAGTCAAGTTAACGAGGGTGTTAGTAAGAGTCAGAGGTTTAATAAGGGTTAGGGAGGGGGAATATCATACAATTAAGAGACAGACAAGATAGATGAGGTCCACTGTAGATTTAGTGACTTAACATCAAATACTTAATATTGTTTCGTCTTCTTTTTGCTTTGGTTGCTTGTTTCTAAATTGTCTGATATTTTCCTCCATCCCTTATTAAATTTGTGCCCCTTAAGACTACTGTTGTTAATAGAAAAGATTTGTAACTCAGGTGGATGATTTGCAATTGATAGTGTTCTCTGAGCTCCTTGGTTTAATTGCGGAGCTTTCATCGTCTGCGCTGAAGATGTCGTCCAGAAAGACGATGAAAGCTCCGCAATTAAACCAAGGAGCTCAGAGAACACTATCAATTGCAAAAACTACTGTTGTTAACTTAAATTTTGTTCAATTTTAATTTAATCTGAGCCCTACTCAACCCTGTCAACTGGATTATGGCACTCAGCTTCATCATTTAATCTAAACTTGAATATCCCCATAATTTGCTCAGAAGAATATAGTCAGAGTGAACAGTTTAACTCAACTTTAGATTTTCCCGCCGATTGACTGGGCCGAAGTATTCGGTCTCAGGTTGACATGTCGGCTTCTTGTGCAGATGCTTCAACGATGTCTTGGTAAGTAATTAGAAGTTAATCGGTGGATGTTCCAAGTGGTCTAGTCTATAACCCTTTTGGCATTTGAAACCATGGGAACTGGGTTCGAGCCTCGGTGGGAATATCATCACTCAATCACTGGGGAATGCAGGTACATCAAGTACCTGATGAGTCCCAAATAGGACGAGACGCTTATCTTGGATTCCACTGTTAGTCACCATTCCATCCACCATTTAACTTCTAGAGCGAACAATTATGGTTTTATTAAATTCCTCTCTTCAGGTTCTACAATTATAAATCCAATAATTTAAGCATACAATAACCAGTCAGTATAGGCAAATTAGAATCATATCAGAAGGTGTATTGTGGAACAAGTATACGATGGGATGGAACACCACTAGTCAGTTAGTTTTTTTGAAAATGTATGGTCAATGAGAACATGAGATAAAATGAAATGAAGTATTACAATCATTCGTGTGTGGGACAATATGAATACTACAGGAAATAAACCAACGAATGGGGCGGACTAGACATAAGTTCAAGGTTGAAAATAACAACAATAAGAATGATTCTAATGTAATAATAACGATGATGTGGTGTAAACTTAAAATTAAAAGTACTATTGGTGAGCCGTTGGATCGGGTCCCAGTGATTGAATGGTATACGATATATAACATAGTGAAACAGCACTATTTATTGGATAACAAAGTTCCAAAAACAATTTATTCTTCATAATCATTTCATGAAATTACAAGTAAACGTCGAAACTCTCGTTTTGTAGTTTTCTTTCTCTCTTCGTTTCTTCCCATCTGTCGTATGGGTAGTAGTAGAATTTCCCAGATGTCTGGGTGGACAGGTGTTGAATCATTCCTATTGCACGTGATTACAGTTGATCCGATGAATAAAGCTTCAGTCATCAATCTAACCCATTCTATCGTATGGTTGTGTGAAACTGCATGTAGTGAGTGCTACAGCTGAACTACTTTTCCAGATTTCTTATCTTATCCGGGCCAAGTAATTTAGATTTTGCTCCGCTAGTCTGACTGCCCTTGTTCTATTACTTTGACCTATGTACCTGACCTGAAAGTCATTCCAGCAGGGTCGTATTAGATAAACTAAATTGTTTGGTGTAATTGGCTCCACAGGATCCTTTAACCCGTATAATTTGTTTCTAAGTGGGTTTATGGGTTTCAGTGCCATTTCTATTCCTCTATTGTTAGAAATTCCATGTAAGGTTTTACTATTATTATATCCTTTAATTCCTAGAGGAACATAGGGCTTCAGCCTCACGTCTCCATTGAGTTCAGTTCTCTGCCAACGTTTTCATCACTTGGCTCCACGTGTGCCAACATGCTGTCATCTCCTCTTCACATCACCTCCTCCATATCACCCTCGCACTGACGACCAACTCGCCGCTTCCCTTTCGGCCAGGTTCCACTCGAGCGATGGCTTGTCTGGTGATGTCACTTGATGATGGTTTGTTTTCTCAGAGTATGGCCAATCCATCTCCATTTCTTCCTGCCTATTCTTTTTCACAATCAGTTCCTGCTGAGTTGGTTCGCTCATTGCCAGAGACCCCTGTTCCTGATCTTTTCTGGCCGGCCATCTGATCTTGAGTTGTGTTGAGCGAAGACAACTGTTGATGGAGGCCTGTAGTTTGTTTGGGATGCTCTTTATGACGCGCTGGCCAAATCTCTGATCCGTGTGGTAAGTAGCACTGACTGACTTCACATTGGAGTTGAAAATCCGGATGTTATTTCCACTTTCATGATGAGTGCTGTTGGCCTCCATACAGACTTGAGAGTAATGAAAGCTTGTCTTGCTTTTCCGATCCACGCTGCTTTGATATCCTTATCGGTTTCTCCTGTAGTTGAAAGGATGCCTCCCAGGTAGGTATAGGAGGTTGTTTCTTTCAGGTTCTTCCTATTTATGCTGGCTGATTGTAGTCTGTTTGTTGTTGTTAATGTTGTCCAGGAACCTTCATCACCTCTGTTTTATGTGTTCACCTGAAGTCCCTCCTAACTTTGATGCTTCTTCTGCCAGGTCGTTGCTTTTTTACTTGCATATTTTCCAGTTTGTGGGAAATCAGACATATATCATCGGCTAAGTCCAGATCCTGCACATTTGTATGGAAGTACTACTGATGATTTAAAATGCTTATTGTTGGTGTGGTCATCTTTCTGTGTATGATTCTAACACATTCTATCCTTATTATTGTTATCATCATTACTATTATTACTAATTTTATATGTACAATTTCTCTTGTATACTTCCTGATTGATTTATCCGGATAATTATGAGATTTTAGAGTTTCTCTCTTATATGCCTGACTTCGTCTCTTTGATTTTCTTTGGGACTATTTAGTTGTTTCTTTTACCCTTTTTACTTAAACATTTCACTAGTCCTATTTTTACTGACATAAGGTTGGATGAACTGAAGTTCAAATATTGGTTTGAATGTGTGGGTTTATTATTTTTTTGTAAACACTAGTGTTTAACTTGGCATTGATAACGGAAAATTTATTTATCGAATAAAGTGTGAATACGTGCAATTGAAATGATTCAACACCTGTCCAGCTGGATATCTGGAAAATTCTACTACCCTTACGATAGATAGGAAGAAAGAAAGAAAACTATAAAACGAAAGTTTCGAAGTTGTGTAGGCTGAATTTCATGAAATGATTATGAAGAATAAATTGTGTTTTCGAAACTTTGACACTGTCAGATTAAAAATTAATGTGGAATAACTAGGTTCTTATTACATATGTCTAAATGAAGTTCACTTTTTACAGTTTAAAAAAAGTATTTGGGCATTGGCTATATAATATTCATTGTGGTAAAGGTCTTTTGTATTTCCCAATGAGTGATTGTAAAACAAAGCGACATCGTTGTTTTTACTGACCTTTCGCTATTTAATGGTACTGTTAATAGCTTTATCAAAGTATTATTAAACTAGAATTTACAAAATCTCAGCATATATATAACAACTTAATCATCGTTCATCAGTATGGAGTCATTTTTGCGTTGTCGAATTGGCCATTTGGTAAAGATAACAAAATCAAGTGTAGATTGTTGAATTTTATAAGTGTGTAAAATTATAAAAGCGGCGTATGTTCACATAACGAAATTGCTTATCACATTCGTGTTAATTTTGTCATTTCATGAGGAAGACCAAGGTTGTTGTAATCAGGTGAAATTCTGTTTTAGTCCATCATCATTCCTATTCAACGAAGACAATTTGGATTCCACTTGATATGAAGTGCTACTGATGATATTAGACGTTTTTTTGTGATTTCTGAAATGCCTTTTTCTGGATATGTGACTGACTGACTGACACAAGTACTGAAGCTTCAGCATATTACTCCTGGATTTCACTCCTAATCCACCTACTTTAGTTTTGTCGACAGCCGCAATCTGTGCCTGGTAGCATGATATGAGAAACGCTGTACAAAGGCTTATCAATAAACTCACTCGACTTTCGAAGACTGAAGCAAGATATGAAAATCATCGTATTTTCAACATTCAATGCTTAAAAAATGAAATCATTTTTCTAAATACGTACGTCTGCGGGCTCCAATTCCAACGGACAGAGTCAGAAGAAGAATAGAAAGCCTACAAAAATTATGCCTGAAAGAAGAGATCCACAGAATTTTTAGAAAGTTGCAACATATCGGATATGAAATTGAGCAATTAAAACAAAAGCTGAAGGGAATAGTTACCAATGTAGATTATGATCTTGTAATACAGTCCTCCAGCAATGCCAAATCAGCAACCAACCTGAAGGTGTCATCTCTAAAATAGAAATAGCATTAAGTGAGATAGACAAAATAACGGCTGACGAAGTACAGGCACAATGTGCACTTATATTAAAACGACAAAAATGTGGAAAACCTAACCTGACAAAACCAGAAAAGCTGAGAGATTTAATAGTTTTGATATTCTTATTCGTAGTGGACTGGATTATGCAGAAAATTTGGGTGTGAGGAACGCAAAGATGGGAATATGTTGGACCAGTAAGGTGACTCTAGGAGATCTGGACTTCACAGACGGTTTATGGTTTATTTTACACAGACTCAAAAAATTACATACGAAAATTAACATATTGGCAGAAGATACAATCAACGATGACAAAATCTCAAGTGAACATAGAGAAGATCGGGGTGATCAAGACAACCAGTCGCTATCAACAAAAGAAATTTGAAAGAGTTCACTTTTTTCAGTTATCTAGTCACAGAATCGTTTGAAATACAGACAGATGATACGAATGAGGATGTCAAAGGAAGAATTGGAAAGGCACGACAGACCTTCATCACTCTGAAATCGGTTTGGAAATCTTCTTCACTCTGTGGCATAAACAACAAGATTCGGATGTTCAAGACAAATATCAAGTCATTCAATTCTTCCATATGGGTCAGAAACTTGCAGGAAGCCTCACAAAAAGCATTTCCAACAGGATACTGCAGACGTTTATCAACAGCTGCTTTTGCTGACTCCTTACTGAAGACCAGACGGCTTGTTCGAAAGAACTGGCAGCAAGAAACTCTGGGAACGAACCAACCAACAACCTGTTCCATAACAAATATTTGGAATGAGATGGAGGTGGATCAGATATACTCTGAGAAGATCGTCAGGTGACATCTCCCTCCAGTCCATAGCTTGAGTTGAACCCAAATGGGAAGTGACGAGTTCGAGGGTAGGTCTGCAGGCAATGTTAGCTGATATAGGGTCAGGCTGGAGAAGAGCTAGCGGCGATCAAACAAAAACATGGCCTCACCAGTCAATGAAATCTACAACGGTTAGTCTAAGCCAGCCACGTAGGAAGGTGTAGACTTCCTGACTGGTTGGGGTCCCCAGGATGAAAAAAACCAATGGTTGGAAACAAGTGGTGACATGGCTCAAACTCATCGTTCTCAATGATGGCTGGCGCAGATGCATCCATTCCTTGTGACTAATGATTTCCAATGAAACTGTTTTGTTCTTCATTACTACTATTCCTTTGTCTCACACGTCTGTTTACTGTCTCTATTCTACATTTCTTCTACTTTCTTCTCTTGCTTTGTGTGGTACAGGGAGGGAGTGTGGCGACTTGAACTGGTGCACATATGTGCAAAGTTCTATGTCGAAAACAAGCTGACAGACAGGGTGGGTCTGAGGGTGATACGGAAGGTATCCTGTAAAGAAGAGATGAGAGCGGAATCGTGGTATACTAGCTGAAGAGGACTGCAGAGAACATGACAGAATTGAGATGTGTAGTTGAACTTCAGAACTCAAGGGAATCATAATAATATTAATAATAATAAGTAGTTTAAGTGGATGCTTTTAATGTTATTCTGTTAACTGAAGCGTAATGGTTTCATTGCATAGACATCCATCCATTTTATTCTAGAAATTAAATGTTATTTGTAAGTTGCATGTAGCGACATTGGCTCTAGAGAATTCAATCTGATATTTATGGTACTTGAAAAAATGGAGAATTACATAAGAAATCATTTTGATTACTTTGCGTTTCTATGAGTTTCAAGGTAATTTCTCTTCCCTGACTGAAATATATCTATACATATACACATATATATATAAATTTCAGACTTTGTGGTTACCCTCCATTCTATGATGAAAATGACCATGAACTGTTTCGACAGATTCGTATGGCAGAATATGAATTCGACTCACCATATTGGGATAATATATCAGATTCAGGTAAGTATGAAATTAAACACTTGACGTTACTTATTTGTATCACAAAATAGTGTTGCTGTTTTACACAAAATGCTAGTTACAGTTCTTTGATTTTGTTTCAGTGTTATAGATTTACTTTTTTTTCTCAATATTTACATGAAACTGTTCTCAACCACGCTCCTGGTCCGGGTACGATTCCCCACTGACCTGCTCTGACTCGTAAAAGAAAACATCACCACTTCTGAAACGTCAAAACGCAAAGGAATGAAAACAAAAAAATTATCAAGATGGCTGATGAAAACAAAATGTCACCTTTAGTGTGATTGGTGATGCGAGCAAACGACTGACTCATTGACTTTGAGGGGGCCAGTCAGAATAAACCAGGCTGGTCTGTGCTTGAAAATCAATATATAAGAATATTAAGCAGGTTCCGTACCTTGGAATACTGAAAGATTAGTACCTAGTTTTTATAGAAGTTGTGATAGTCAACCAAGTAAGTATCATTTAAATTCTGGGAGGTAAATTTACAGGATCTAAGATCTGAGGCTGAGGGTTTTCGTTTTGGGTTTTAGTTATGTTTTCCAGGTTGTATCCATCTGGGCGAATCTTGTCATGATTAAACACTGTCTCTTCATTCTAAGTGCATTATCGCCCATGTGAAATCTGATTGGCTACTTCAGCGTCAATGAGTTGGTTGTTCGCTTCGATCACTATTGGTTAACCTCATATACTGAAAAATCTAAACGGAAATGATTGCATGCTTAACTTTTAATTTGAATAATATTATTATAATAATATAACACTATTTGTTTCATTTCTGACCACGGATTGATATCAGCCAGAGAATCATTGTAAACCAGGGCGTACGGGACAGAAGTGTCATCCTAATTTCGGATTCATCTGCAGTACGAACCCACCGGAGTTGGAACATAGGACCTTCTGGTTACAAGGCAATCGCTTGTAGGCTATTCAAATATTGGGACCTGGTTCAATGGCGCATGAATTCCTACTTCTACTAATGTGTGATTTTAACTCGACCATCAGCCAGTGTGATTGGTGAGTAGTTTTCCTCGCTCACGACCGGATATACTCCGCTGGTCTTCAATAGTTGTCTAAGCCACATCAATCCATGGTCAAACTTGAGATAAATCAAATCCCTACAAACCAACACTTGAAAAATCACTAGTGAGTGACTGGGTACAGGGAAAGTTTTCTGGAGTCCTACCGAGAAATCGTGATCAGTGGGTTTGAAGATCTCGAGTGTGAGGACTCGCTGGCGACATTGGTTGGCGGTGTTGCAATAAAGTCATGAAATGCTAGACGTTGCGATTCACTGGCCATTGGATCGGGTCCCATTGCCTGAGTGGCCTGTAGGTCCTGGGGTTCCATCCCCCGTAATTGCGTACTACCGATGAGTCTCCGATTAGGACGACACTTCTGTCGAGTACATCCTGGTTTTCAGTAGTTCTCTAAATGTGATTAATCCATGGTCAACCTTGCAACAAATTAAATCCCTACAAGGTACTATACGGATCAGAGACTTGGCATGTCATAAAGAGCATCCCAAACAAGCTACAGACCTTCATCAACAGTTGTCTTCTCTCAATACCACTCAAGATCAGATGGCCGGCCAGAAAAGATCAGCAACAAAGATCGCTGGCAATGAGCGAACCAACTCAGCAGGAACCGATTGTGAAACAAATAGGCAGGAAGAAATGGAGATGGACTGGCCATACTCTGAGAAAACAAACCATCATCAAGTGACATCACTAGACAAGCTATTGCTCTGGTGGAACCTGGCCGAAAGGGAAGCGGCGAGTTGGTCGTCAGTGCGAGGGTGATATGGAGGAGGTGATGTGAATAGGAAATGAGAGCATGTTGGCATACGTGGAGCCAAGTGATGAAAACGTTGGCAGAGAACTGAACTCAATGGAGACGTGAGGCTGAAGCCCTATGTTCCTCTAGGAACTAAAGGAAACAATAATAATAATTTGGACAGTTTTAATTTTTAAAGGTTTAGGGGGAGGGTTTGGAAAACTATTCCGGTTTATACATTTCATTTCAGCAGAAGTACGTTGTCTCTTCACAACCATCCCTGTCTTACGTTCGAGAAATAAGGATAGACTACCTTAATTTGCCTCCTTTATGTGTATCTACCAGTTTGATTGCAGCTGCGGGGCCAGCTACATGGGGTGTGCAATTAGGCAGGTTCATCATCGTATTTCCGAACACCATTCAGCACGGTTAAGCAAGGGATAAACAAGATCTATTCGTAGCTCTATTTTAGCACATCTTGTAGATAGTGAGCATAAGGTTGGCGTTAATAGTGCATTTAAAAGTATTTATCACCTTCCTACTGATCTAAATTTTGCTCTACGAGTTCCCTTGAAGCAATGAGAATCCACTTGAAGATGCGAAATCTGTGTGTTCAGAAGAAATTTGTACATCCACTTTCCTTACCTTGGTCATCGTTACGTGAATGTATAAACCGAACTACTTCGTCGCCACCCTCTCCCTAAACCTTTAAAAATTATAAAAATTGTAATTGTCTAAATAATTTTTTTTAAATTACTTTTTCTGACTACTCCATTTTTATATTTCGCGATAAGTTCTGTTGAATAGGAACGCCAAGCTGGATGCAGTCGCGGTGATCACAAATATCGCTAGTCTAACTGTAGTAATTTTCAATAGTTGGTTTTTTAAGGATAACATTTGTTTGTACGAGTTGATCACGGATTGGTATTAGTTAAAGATGCATTGAAAACCAGCACTGCCAGACAGCTGTTTCGTCAGCCTAGTTTGGGAATCATCGACAGTACGCACCCACCAAAAGGGTTCGAACACAGGACCTTCTGATTACAAGGCAAGCTGGCTCGTATACCATTTAACCGCTGGGATCCGATTTACTGGTTAGCCCGTGAATTCTAACTTCTACCAATTCGTCATCTGTTTTAGCGCGACTGGCACCAACCAATTTCATCGTTTGAACATTGAAAACAGCTGTCCAGTACTCCAGTGCTGGTTTTCAATGGTTTTTTAACTGATATCAATCCATGATCAACTCGTAAAAAAATTACTCCAGTAATGCATACCACAATTACCTGTCTTCCAAACTCGCCTTACTTAAGTGATAACGCACAACGACATAACATGGGAAGTAAAAGTGTTAGTATGAGTATATTTACAAACTGAAACTGGTGTATATATATATATATATATATATATACATGGCCAATAGCGTAGGCGTGAGCGATATCCATAAAATGATGTATAACAGCCTACGTTATATTTCCAGACTGACCTTGATCATCATATCATTTATAAAATTATAATCCATTACTTATCTGTCTACCTATCAGAATCCACGTCAACCACTCAAGTGGTTTTGGTTCGATTCCTGAACGATTTATTTTTAAGCTTCGCTTAGCTTATAAGGTGATATTAAGCTCAGAAAAGAGGGGAGTTTTGAGCCTAGGAGTAGCGATACACTTCATAAAAGATATTTATCCCAATTCCTATAGTCTCCTGCAAAGATTAAAAACCAATCAACTTTCGATACGAGAGTTTATGATCACTTCACTGAAATACTTTATCACAAGTCATTTTATCTAACTCACATCACCCTCTTCATTCACTACTCTCCCCTTGTATCTATCTCTTCAGACAAAACCAGAAGCCTATATAGAAAACTATATATATGCTCGCACTGACTAGTAAGTACAAAAACTCAACCATACCTTCCCTACTTAGCTCGTGTTCTGTGCTATAAAGAAAGCATTAGGCGTGATACCTATACCTTATTAAATAGTCAGTAGAACAATTAGACGTCGTCTTTCAACTCATATCATTTATAGGTACAACGTTTTCTTTCTTTCTTTTCCTTTCCTCTCTCTTTTTTTCTCTGTGTTATGTTCTGCTTTGTTTCTTTCTTCTGCTTACGCCAGTAAATATGCTACCATCTACTTTTCTAACACCTTCAAACACTCTGTTCAATTTTGTCTTTGCTACCGATATGCTAATATATTGTTGTCATAATGAACTGAGATTACCCTTAATCTATGTAGGATTTTATTTTATTGTTAATTTACCATCTGGATGCAATACTGTAGTAAAGTGCTGAGAATTCCATTCTGTATTCGCAAGTACTGTTTTGGAATAAAGCTATTACCATTATCAATTATCATTACCAGAGTGATGTAATCCAATTCGAGTATTTTGATAATCACCGAAAATACCCATTGAGCCATGAAGAAAATAAAAGACAAATTCAACGAAGAAAAGTTTTGCTTATCGACGAAATCATCTTCACAGGCTGGACTGTACAGTCGTATTCATATTCACCGAAAATGTTTAGTGGTCTGTTACTGAGTAATAGCGGGGTGACATAAGTGATATCACTGCTCAGAAGTAGCTTTAGAAGTAAAAATAAAAGTTTCGAATCACTTAGTACTCAACGGCTCAAAGGAAAATATGGTTAGAAATTTGATAAGGTCAAAATTGCTATTGAGTGAGAATAAGAGTAGTTGAGTGTCCAAGTGTTAACAAGTGTGAAGAGGGTGCGAAAATATAGAAAAGTAACATATGAGAGTGATAATAGTGAACTAATTATTGAAGCAAAAGCAAACTAAAAGTAAAATTAAAAGTTATAAAAAGAAAAGAAAAAAATCAAAATTTTTGTTACAAGAAACAACTAGTGAAGAGGTTAAGACCAAGATAGAATAAGGGATTGGACAAACATTTTTCTGTATACAGAGTTCAGGGTTGTATAGATGAATTGCCAACGCCCATCTGTTGTACACAAATGACAAAACTTGACGCCCTCTGTACCATTTAGCCTCACCTTGTAGATGATTGGGAAAAGACGACTCTGATGGAGCTAAGCGGCTTATTTCCACTTAGTGTTCGAGAATTGAACTAGTAATTGTCCTGCATTGTCCTTTTGTTAACCATACCAGATAATGTCCCGAACTTTGTATACAGAAAAATGTCTGTCCAATCACTTATTCTACCTTGGTCTTAACCTCTTCGACTAGTTGTTCCCTGTAAAAATTTCGTTTTTTAAATTTTACTTTGAGTTTGCTTTTACTTTAATAATTAATTTACTGTTATCACTCTCATATGTTCCTTTTTGTACATTTTCACACCCTCTTCAAACTTGTTAACACTTGGACACTCAACTACTCTTATTCTCACTCAATAGTAATTTTGACCTTATGAAATTTCTCCTTTGTGCCGTTGAGTTTCACGTAACTTACAACTTTTATTTTTAAATTCTAAAGCCACTTCTGAGTAATTATATAAAATAACTCATCCCGCTATTAATCAATGACAGACTACTATACATTTTTGGTAAATATAAATACGACTGTACAGTACAGCCTCAGCCACAGAGTTAGAGCTATATGCTCAGAAGATGAAGTAATTGAAGATGAATTAAGCATTGTATATGATAATTTGACCGAAAATGGCTATCCCGAAAAATTTATCAAGAAACACATGACAAAGAAAACGGAAAAGGACTACTCACTATCTGTAAAAAAGAAGCCTCTTTATGTGCGACCGCAATTCATGGGCTATATACCAAGCGAAATAATTGCGAAGAAATTAAGAAAATCAGTTCAAAGAACTTTTAATGCTGGCGAACTACACGTATTATTCTCTACACGACCGATGGTGCTACCTCGACTGAAAGATGAAGTACCTAGCCTAGCCACTTCAAATTGTATCTATCGATTCAGCTGCGCTTGTGGAGCCAGTTATATTGGCCGTTGCTCTAGGAACTTGATTTTTCGTGCTCACTCGAGAACATCTCCGACTATGGCTAAGTAAAGGTGTAGTGAAAACTATTAACAGTTCGATATTGGACCATCTGGTGCAAACCGGCCACCAAGCCATCCAGCGTAGAAGAATCCTTCTCTATATTTTACCGGGTGCCACATAAATTGCCAAAAACATTGAAGCACCGCAGGCTCCAAAGAGCAGAGGCTATTGCGATTCGCCTCAAACAACCAGTGCTCTGTGTGCAAAAGAAGCAATTCCAGCCCCTACTATTGCCCTGGCCTTCAGTAGAAACTATAAGCTCATGAATTTGCAATATTATCTTTCCTGATTCTTCTGACATTCAGTTTATTGTTATGTTGATGTGAGTCAGCTGTAATCTATCAATATTATTGATTTGGTGTTATTTAAACAACATTAATGTTGTTCATAACACTAATTCATTCATTCACTGTAATGTATATGTAACTGTAGAGCCTGATGAAGGGGAAGTTATCGAAAAGAGTACTCTTTGTTCAGTATCCATTCTTTTGAAAATTTTAATGGGCATTTTTAATCAGTTAAAAAGTAATTCATTTGAATCTCGTGTAATGTGTATTTGTCTAACACATGTCCAACAGTCTGATAATACATGTACTTATCATAGCAATATATAACACAAGATGAAAACGAGGTTTTGGGGGAATAAAGGTCAAAGTAACAAAAAGAGATCAGTAAACCGAAGAAGGGAGATAATAGTTTGTCTGGTTTGATATTCTAAAACAAAGTTTACCACAGAAGATTTATAATGCGATGATGTCGAATTGTTTTTGAACACATAACGGGGTGGTTTATGCTTCCTGCAAACCGTGCAATCCGGTCTGAATGCGTTTTATATAGATAAGTTTAATAGGTCTGTGTGTTTGGGATGGGGTTGAAAGTTGTAAACACCAATTTTATTGTCCTGTCTCTATAATATGTTTCACAACAGAACGCTTAGGTCATCTAATTCGAATGTTTCATGTTTCTTTTTGTTGTTGTTTTTCAGCTAAAGATTTTATTCGTCATTTATTACAAAAAGATCCTAAAAAGCGTTATAGTTGTACACAAGCATTGGAACATCCATGGATAGCTAGTAATACAGCACTTGATAGAGATCTTTATCCATTTGTCAGTGAACAAATACGCAAAAACTTTTTAGCTGTAAGACGGTGGAAGGTAAGTCTAGTATAATTACGATTTTTATAATTACTATTATGATTCAAAGTAGTCATTGTTTTCAAGTGTTGTTCTTCTTCAGGGATATCATTGGTTTTTGAGTTAGATCACGAGATGAGATTAGTTAGGCGGCTGTCGAAAACCGGGAAGTAGTTGACAGATATTTCGTCCAAGCCTGCGACTGTTCATTAGCACGCACTTTTGGAGGAAACCATCAGATCCCTTCATCAAAGCAAAGGTTGAAAATCAGTCTTTTGCTCACTGGTGACTGACTGTAGGATGAAGTTGCCTGGAGTTGTAGTGAGAAGTCATGAGCAGTTGGGTTTTCATCAAGTCGTCTGTGTGTGTGATGGAAGATAATTTCTGATGACACTGGCTGACTGGCAGTGGTGGTATGTTATTGTTGTTATTATTAGGTGAATGGAAACAATCGATAGTGAGCCTTGGACCTAAGTCTCATGCTTGTTGGCACTCACTTGAAGCATCTCATGTCCCTTTGTGAGATTCGAGCCCATGTTACCCAGTGAACCATGATGGCGAACCAATTAGCATAGCAGCTACATTGTAAACTTCACTGGTACAACTGAATCTTCATAAAACATATAGATATATTATACTAGTTACTAACTACTGTCCAATCAAAAATATCCAATACAGTCCTACAGGAGGTGAGTCCCGGACCCGAATAGCTCGGTGTTAACGTCTCTGACTGAAGGCGGCAATGGGTGACTCTGGTTTGAATCTCAGAAAAGACATGAATTTCTTCAAGGTAACAGATACGACTTGTTGACTGCTGAGTGCCAAGAAACATGAGACGTAGGTGGAAGGCTTCCAGCCGATTACCTCCAATAACCTAACACCAACAATTCAATGTGTACCTTGCAAACTTCAATGACAGAATACAGTCTTCTACAAAGAAAGGGCTGAGATGGTTAGGACATGTGTTACACATGCCTAGCCATCACTTTCCTTGACGGGCAATGTTAGCTGACAAAGCGTTAGGTAGGAAAAGAGTTAGTGGTGGTCAAACAAAAACATGGACTCATCAGTCAACGAAATCCACACCAATTATCTTAAGCCACGTAGGAAGGTATGGACTTCCTGGTTGGGGTCCTCGGGATGGTAAAAACCAGTGGCTGAAGACAATTGGTGGTGATATGGCTCAGAATCGTTCTCAATAGCACAGATGCACCCAATCTTTGTGATTTGTAATACCTAATAAAATTGTATCATTCTTTGATATTACTATTCTTTTTGTCTCATATCTCTGTTTACTGTCTCTCATTTGCATTTCTTTTTACTTTCTCCCCTTGCTTTGTTCGCACATCGGTGCAAAGTTCTGTGTTGAAACCAGACAGTCAGTTAATCAGTCATTACCTAGTGTCCAACCAAAGCGGACAGGCTCACCTTGTAATCTGAAAGTCCTTAGTTCGATCCCCGGCGGTACTATACGTACGCATTGCCGAAGAACCACAGGCTAGAATTAGACAGCTATTCATTACCTCCTCGTTTAGAGTGGTTCTTTAACTGAGGGAATGAATACATTCGTGTTTCTCTATAACTGGTTTGTAAGGGTTAGTTTTGTTTTTACGAGTTGATCACGGTTGATATCAGTTAGATAAGCATTGAAAACCAGAACTGGAGTACTAGACAGCTGTTTCACCCCAGTATGAGAATCATCGTAAGTGCTCATCCACTGCCGGAGTTCGAACCCAGGATCTTCTGGTTACAAGGTAAGCTCGTATACTATTGTCACTGGGACCCGATCCAACGGCTAGTCCATGAATTCCAACCTCTACCAATTCGTGATTTAGCGCGACCCCAACTATTGTCGTAGGTGAGACGTCCATCCTCACACGTGACATCTGGACGAACCTCACTGGTCACGACTTCTCACTAGAACTTCAGGAAACTCCATCCTGTAGCAAGTCACTAGTAAGCATCAGATTCATTTTCTATAGTTTGGTTTGTAAGCGTGGCCAACTCTTCAAAACAAAACCAGCCCTTACAAACCAAACCATAGAAAATTACTGTAGTACTCAGAATGGCCAACTAGCTTATCAATCTAAGTTTATATATTATAAGTTTTAGATGACAAATATCGTTAATGGGTTAGAAGCTAATGTAAGATTAAATAAGATAGTTACAGTGAATAATTGTGGTTTCAATAAATACGTCTTCAGGCTCTACGATTATTATTATTATTATTAAATCGTTTAATTCTTAGAGGAACATAGGGCTTCAGCCGGGCGTCCCCATCGCCTTCGGTTCTCTGCTGAAGTTTTCACCTGGCTCCACGTCTACCCACATGCTTTCTCTCCTCTTCACACAACCTCCTCCATATCACCCTCGCACTGACGACCAACTCGCTGCTTCCCTTTCGGCCAGGTTCCACTCGAGCAATGGCTTGTCTGGTGATGTCACTTGATGATGGTTTGTTTTCTCAGAGTATGGCCAATCCATCTCCATTTCTTCCTGCCTAATTGTTTCACAATCGGTTCCTGCTGAGTTGGTTCGCTCATTGCCAGCGATCTTTGTTGCTGATCTTTTCTGGCCGGCCATCTGATCTTGAGTTGTGTTAAGCGAAGATATCTGTTAGTGAAGGTCTGTAGTTTGTTTGAGATGCTCTTTATGACGCACTGGCCAAGTCTCTGATCCGTGTGGTAAGTAGCACTGACTGACTTCACATTGGAGTTGAAAATCCGGATCTTATTTCCACTTTCATGGTGAGTGCTGTTGGCCTCCATACAGACTTGAGAGTAATGAAAGCTTGTTTTGCTTTTCCGATTCTGGCTGTGATATCCTCGTCAGTTCCGTCCGCTTGTAGTTGAAACAATGCTTTCCAAGTAGGGATGTAGATGAATGAGGTTGTTTCTTTCAGGTTTTTCCCATTTATGCTGGCTAATTGTTGTCTGTTGTTGTTGGTGGTGGTGTTGGCCAGGAATCTTCATCACCTCTGTTTTATCTATGTTCACTTTGATGGTTCCTCTATCGCAAGCTTGTTGCTTTTCTCTTGGATGTCTTCCAGTTTGTGGGAAATCAGACATATATCATCGGCTAAGCCCAGATCCTCCAAGTCTCTTTTTGTTTGAGTTCATTGTATGCCTGTTTCCTCATTGCCTTGCCCGTTGTCTGTCTCATTATCCAATCTACTGGAATCAGGGAGATCATTGGCGATAGTAGACAGCCAGCTTGTCTTACTCCCGTCCTCACTTCAAAGGCTTCCGATTAATTTAAGCATACAATAGCCAGCCAGTTAAGGCAAGTTAGAATCATATCAGAAAGTGTATTGTGGAACAAGTTATTTACCACGTTCCTCGTAATCTGTTTATCTAGAGGAGCTCGACTATGTCTTCTATCAGCAGCAGCTGAAGTGGTTGCTATCAATACCAGAAGACCATCTCTTTGCATACAGAAGAAGTATGTTCAACCTCTATGTTTACCTTGGCCTACAGTAAAGCCACCAAATCCTCCATTAACATTAGCCCAATAAATTCCTATCACGATTTCCTTTTCATTTCTTCTCCTTCTTCTATTCCTCTGTTTCATTGACAAACGTTCACTTGTGACTTTCATGATTTCATAATCGTTCTTATGATTTCAGGTTTAGGAATGCTTTCTTAACTTGTTGTCGTATTTACGAAATCCTGTTCATTCCACTTCATGATATTCATTATTATTATTATTTGACAATCATTCACCAATAGTACTTTTAAGTTTACACCACATCATCGTTATTATTATTATCTTACAATCATTCTTATTGTTGTTATTTTCAACCTTGAACTTATGTCTAGTCCGCCCCATTCGTTGGTTTATTTCCTGTAGTATTCATATTGTCCCACACACGAATGATTGTAATACTTCATTTCATTTTATCTCATGTTCTCATTGACCATACATTTTCAAAAAACTAACTGACTATTGTTCCATCCCATCTCATTTATACTTGTTCCACAATACACATTCTGATATGGTTCTAATTTGCCTATACTGACTGGTTATTGTATGCTTGAATTATTGGATTTATAATTGTAGAACCTGAAGAGGAATTTAATAAAACCATAATTGTTCGCTCTAGAAGTTAAATGGTGGATGGAACGGTGACTAACAGTGGAATCCAAGATAAGCGTCTCGTCCTATTTGGGACTCATCAGGTACTGGATGTACCTGCATTCCCCAGTGATTGAGTGATGATATTCCCACCGAGGCTCGAACCCAATGCCCATGGTTTCAAATGCGAAAAGGGTTATAGACTAGACCACTTGGAGCATCCACCGATTAACTTCTAATTACTTACCCAGACATCGTTGAAGCATCTGCACAAGAAGCCGACATGTCAATCTGAGACCGAATACTTCGGCCCAATCAATCGGCGGGAAAATCTAAAGTTGAGTTAAATTGTTCACTCTGACTATATTCTTCTGAGCAAATTATGGGGATATTCAAGTTTAGATTAAATGATGAAGCTGAGTGCTGTAATCCAGTTGACAGGGTTGAGTAGGGCTCAGATTAAATTAAAATTGAACAAAATTTAAGGTAACAACAGTGGTCTTAAGTGGCACAAATTTAATAAGGGATGGGGGGCGAATATCAGACAATTCAGAAACAAGCGACCAAAGCAAAAAGTGGACGAAATAAAATTAAGTATTTGATGTTAAGCCACTAAATCTACAGTGGACCTGATCTGTCTTGCCTGTCTCTTAATTGTATAATATTCCCCCTCCCTAACCCTTATTAAACCTCTGACTCTTAATAACACCCTCGTTAACTTGACTTTTGTTCAATTTTAATTAATTATCTGAGGTCTACTCAACCCCGTTAGTTTTATATATTACTGAGTTACGAGTTGTTTGTCGTTAAACTGTGGATCGATAAAATTGATATTTTCATTCACGTCTTATGCTGCTCACTAACTACTAAGTGAAAAATGGACAGCATTCACGTTGTTCTATGGAAAGAAGTCTGTCTGGTTCAAGCGTACATCTTTGTATACTTGTAACGAAGTCTGCTTGATGTGAAGTATCTAGCCTTGATTTTAGTGCTAGTTGAATCCTAGGTGATTCTCCATCATAGTGTACTTCGCTTCTGTGTTAAGTAGTTGGAGGCAACCGACAGGATTTCCTGGACATATATTTTATGCTTATTGGCAATTCATTAGTGTGGAGCGTTTGTAACCTGTCGAAGAAAACAACTGATTCTTCCGTCGGAGATTGGAACTGGTGTTACCCCTGGTGTTGCAATTACAGCCGTTACTGTTGATTCATTCAGGATAATGATTGGTTGAGCTCAAGTAGTTATCCGTTTAAATGATTCCAAGCATAAGGCTATCAAAGACTACACTAACGTCAGAAGTTACTTTTTGTTTTATTTTCAAACTGTATAACTTGATATTGATTTATCCAGTCTCTCTGTGAAACGTACTGTGGTAGTATGATACGGAAGATGTGTTCCAGCGGAATATTATTCTTAAACATCCCCACTGAGTTGTATGAAAAAGAGAAGACATTCAGCAGAGAGACTGTTTTCGACGGCGAATTCATTCACACAGCTGTACAAACGCATATGTGTACAATTATTTTTTGAGTGTGTGTGTACATGAAGTTTGTCAAGTTTAGATAATTAATTAGGTAATACAAGAGTGATGGAATATGAAAACAAGGTTAATTAGACGGCAACTAAAGTAAGATTGAGTTAGTAAGGTAGATGACGTATTATTATTCACTAACATGTTTCTACTTAGGTCAGGATAGCAAGAGAGGTAGAGACTAATTAGAGATGGGGTAGAGAATAATGCCATTTAAGTTAGGAGAAAAAATGAGCAAATAAATTGGATGACGTAACAGAAATGATTATTAATTGAGCGTTGGCCAAGTCAGTAACAGTGCTAATGAGGTGTGGAAATTAAATCTGGTAAAGTTAAAGAACAAGAAAGTTGAAAATGTGAAATATTGCGTTTGAAAAGACAAGATAAAACTAATGAAGAGGCAGAAAGAAAGAAATAGAATTTACCTGTCTGGTATTAAGATAGATTGCATCCATTGCAAATGTAGTGATTGAACGCGGTTCTTCTGTATTCAGAGTTCAGAACTTAGCAAGTGAATTCCTATTGCTTCTGAAGTTTGAAGAAGTTTGATTTGTACACTTTTCGGAAGACTGTGCTTCGTATTCTGTTGACGACTTTGGAGTTTATTTGTGGTGTAGCTTGGTGTCCAGAATCTATCAAATGTTCCAAGATATTATTCTCACATTTTCTTACAGTTGAATACTGCGTTCAAAACAGAATACTACATGCCCTGCAGTCTGTGAAAGAGACTTATAGATCTTCTGGCTGGACTTCGAGGCTGTTGGGCAGTTGAATTGCTTTCAAGAACCGTAGGTGATGAGGCTGTTACTTGGAACGCTGCTGGGAGGTCGAATAACGGCAGCATTTGTTATTGTGAGGCGAAACACGCAGGAAAATACTCACAAAGGTTATTCAAACTGCTTCTAAAGTGGGAAGGAGCATAAACGGTCATCGTGAGACGGCGTCACGTACATACGATCAGAATTGCAAAGGAGAGAAACGGGTGGACATCTATGAGCTCCGCATCTCGATACAGCAAGACAAGCAAACAAAGCCGCTGGCATCAAGAATACCGAAGAGACTACAGTTCAAAGTCTGACAGAGGGACGAGTGTGGTGGTGTGCTAGGGAAAATGTGTTCTAACGGAATATTATTTTCACATATTTCCACAGATCAATACGGGGTTAGCAACAGGATACCACATATCTGTTTGGACATTCTAAAGCCAGAATCACACGCTCAGTGATTGGTTAAAGAATATAGAACTGTATATATACACATATATATCCCCGAAAATACCCATGGAGTCATAAAGGAAATAAAAGACAAATTTAGCGGAGAAAAGTTTCCTTATCGACGGGGTGACATAATTGATATAATTAATCAGAAGTGGCTTTAGAAGTAAAATAAAATTAAAGCTTGTAAATTACGTGGTACTCAATAGCACTAAGGAAGAAAGGCTTAGAAATTTGATAAGGTCAAAATTGTTATTGAGTGAGAATAAAGTTAGTTGAATATCCAAGTGTTAACAAGTGTGAAGAGGGTGCGAAAATATAAAAAAGGAACATATGAGAGTGATAACAGTGAATTAATTATTAAAGCAAAAGCGAACTAAAAGTAAAATCAAAAATAGAAAATTTTACAGGGAACGACTAGTGAAGAGGTTAAGACCAAGGTAGAATAAGTGACTGGACAAAGATTTTTCTGTATACAGAGTTCAGGGTTGTATTGACAAATTGCCAACACCTCTGTCGTACACAAAAGCAGAAACCTGACGCCCTTTGTGCCATTTAGCATTATCTTGTAGATGATGTTGAAAGATGACTTTTGTGGGGGCTGGGTGGCCTGAGTTCATCAAGTGCTCCAGAATTGAACTAGTAATTGTCTTGTATTGTCCTTTTGCTAACCATGCCGGATAATGTCCAGAGATGCGTTTGAAAAATGTGTGCTTTGTGTAGCCAATGTAACTAGCTCCTCACGAGCGGGTGAATTGATGAACACACACTGCAGTTTATCCCTCACAAATCCGTTGATCATCTGTCGGCAGTAGAAATTGATCCGTAGCTCAGCCATAAAAAAGGCTTTCCTCAGCGATCTACATAAGCAGCAATTCTTCAGGATCTCAGCTGCGGTATCACCTTTAAATTTAACACTCATAAATAGCAGTTTCTTCAGCACCATCTGCATTCTTTCAGGCTTTTCCCTTGACTTCATGTTTTTTTCGATAAATCTTGGAGGATATTCATTCTCTATGAGGAATTGAGTCTGAGTCGCTCCAGTTCCCCACCAATTGTATCACTGGAACCTATCTTTTTTATTCTTGAGGATAAGGAATGGATCTGGTTTCTCTTTCTTCTCAAATGGATCGAAACATGAAAATTCGTGTACTGACCATTCTATGTTGGTTTCCTGTAGATTTATCTTTGAAGAGAACCATCAGATCAACTTTTTAGAAAAACAGCCAAAAAAAAAATGCAATTACGAGTTCACCTCTGATTCCGACGTGAATTGAATGGCATGATGGTAGCTGTTGAAATCTTTAGTTATCAATTCGATGTCGGTACTGTCGTCTCATATGATGAAAGTATCATCCATGTATGTATCTTTGGTACACAATGGTAAATATCGATAGTAGCCCGTAACATACCATTTTCCAAACTTGCCAAGAAGCAGTTCGAGTAATTATACTATATATATTGTATCACAACCCCCCACCCCCTATTACTCAATACTAGAACACTAATTATTTTTTGGTAGTATAAATACGACTGTACAGTACAGCCTCTGGAGATTATTTCGTCGATAAATAAAATTTTCTTCGATGAGTTTGTCTTATAATATATATATATATATATATATATATATATATATAAACAGCGGTTTGATCAATGAAAAATATACCTTGGCTTCCATGTCTTGCCTTCCGTTGTTCCAGTACTATTATAGAATTCATGTATGAGAGTACTTTAATTTTCAAGTATTGGTTTTGAATTAATTTTTTTGTTTGATTGCATAGAGGATTTCATCATGAGCTGACATCAGTTAGAGAGTCACTGGAAAACCCACCTGGGAGTACTGGACAGCTGTTTCTTTCTAGTCTGGGACTCTTCATCAGTACGCTACGTCGTGAATTGGCAGAAGTTAGAATTCAAGGACCATTGGATTGGGTCCCAGTGGCTCAATGGTCTACGAGCTTGCTAGCCTTGTAACCAGAAGGTACTGGGTTCGAACCGTGGTGATAGGTGCGTACTGATGAAGAGTCGCAGAGTAGAACGAAACAGCTGGCTGTCCAGTACTCCCAGGTGGGTTTTCCAGTGACTCTCTAACTGATGTCAACTCATGATAAAATCCTCCATGCAATCAGAACTTTAATTCTTTTAATTTTTATTGTTATTATTATTTAAAAAAAAAATCCTTTACAGAAAGCCTATAATGCAACTGCTGTTCTACACTTATTACGTCGCCTTCAATTAAACAAAAGTAATTCAACAATGAAAAAATCTACAGGTTCTGCAGATTCACTGACCAATTTCACTTTTGATGATGATAAACTTGCACAAATCCAGCGTAATGATCATGAACAAGAGAATTTAGACAGTGCTGATGTTGTTATTGGTGGTGGTGGTGGTGGTGGTGCTGAAAAACAAGGTAAAAAAACACCATCAAAACTGCAAACATCTTGTTCCTCACCATCATCATTTTCACCGACTTTGTCGACATCAACAGCAACTGCAACATCAACATTGTCCTTCACGACGGTAACAGGAGTATCAATTCAAGATAATAATACTTCAATGAAGTCAGCTTCGTTGAACACGTTGGAAGATAAACTTATAACTACGAATGATAATAATAATAATAATGATAATAGTAATGAAAAGAGTGATTAGAATGACGTAATATATTTTTACTTGTAAAAAGCACTGCAAGTAGAGGTTTAACAGATCCTGTCTCATATTCACTCACTCACTCACTCACTCACTCACTCACTCACGCATTCATTCATTCATTCAAACATTCAAAACGGAACAAATACACATTCTTTCTCACTGTGTAAATACAATCACTCATATTATTATTATTAATAGTAAACATGGTGTGACATCTGTTGATTATTCAATGAAACTGTGTTTTCTTTTTCCTCTCAATTTATTGATTGATCACCATTTGTTTGCCTCACTTCATTCTTTCCCCACCACCACCACAACCAGCGCCACGACTACCGCCGCTGCTGCCGTTGTCTCCACTGTCACTTCGGCCTACTTTCTCTCTCCCACACTGACACATATTATGTTTGTATTCATAGTCTATATACATCATTTTTTTTATAACTGTAAAGTGAATTTTGAAGGATGGTGGTGGTGGTGATCGTCGTGGTGGTGTTGGCGGATGGAGGGAGGGAGAGAGGGAGGCAGTTAGACGGGGGAGATACTCTCTGACTTCTGTTCCTCTCCAGCCTTCCTTTCCGTCTTTCTGTCTTTCTCTCTTTCTCTAAATCTACTTGTCAATTTTGCTTTTGGATTCCTCTTGAGAAAGCAAAAACAAGAAAACAAAAACAAACCCAGAGGGAGGGGGGTAACAAAACGAAAAACAACACACATACACACACAGAAAACAAGAAACAAAAAACACCGATCATTGGAAGCATGAAAAACATAATAATGAAAAGAGGGAGTGCGAAACAGGTGAAGAAGATTCCTGCACCTCTTTCTCCTTGTTTTTGTTTTTTTTACTACAATTTTTAGATGCATAAAAATGTATTCGATTTGTCATTTCCTTTCCTTTGTTTGTTTGTTTGCTTGATTCGATTATAATGTATCTGCTGCTTTGAGCTAATAATAATAATAATACGGCATAGACAGATCGGTTTCTTTGTTGATTTGATCGATCACCTCCCAATGAAAAACAAAGCAATTCAGTACGAAAGAAAAATACCTATCTTGCCTATATAATTATTGTTGCTTCGTATTCCTCCTTGTTCTTCTCTCTCTCCTCTCCTCTTCTCGCCTCCACTCCATCTCCTGAAACGCCCCGTTTTCCTTCACTGTTTTTTACAAAGTAAGCTGTTGAGTTTGACAGATTTAAGGCATTTCTATTTTCCTCTTTAGAGTTTGTTTTTGTTTTTTTTCTGCATTTATTTTCACTGTTTATTGTGTATTCTTGCTAGTTTTCCTTTCTTTGACATTGAATGACAAGATGAATACACTATTCTTCCTTTTTTGGACTTTTTATTCTTTCTTCTTCTTCATAACTGTTTATTGCTGACAACCATCTATTGGTTCCTTCTTTTTTTTGTTTTCCCCTAGTCGTATTCATTCTATATCGATTTGTTTGTTTGTCTTTTTCGTTTTGTTGAGGGTTGTTTCACACATTTTTTCATTTTACCTGCTCATCTCCTTGTTCTTCTTCTTTCAGTTTTAGGTTGTTTTTTTTCTATTCTGCCTTTTTGTGAATGAATAAAGCTATTTGTTTGTTTCGCTTTTATGACAGTTGATGGATAATAATAATGGATAAATTGAAATAATAATAAAATTGGATTTAGATGCTTATTCATTCCTACAATATCTATCTATTCGTTTGATTGAGCACTAACTAGTGATGAGTAAGTAATGTATTATGCCTAATCCTTTAATTGATGGATGGTGACTAGCAGTGGAATCCAGGATAACGCGCATCTCATCCTAGTTGGGACTTATCAGCTACTGGATGTACCTGCATTCCCCAGTCATTGAGTGATGTTCCACCGAGGATCAAACCAATTTGCCCGTAGTTTCAAACGCTAAAGCATTATACACTAGATCACTTAGACCCCAAGAGCCACTGCCTCTTATGCATCGGGTCATATTAATTATTCAACTGAATTGCAGATTTTCTCGTCGATTGATTGGATCGAAGTCCTTGGTCTCAGGTTGGCATGTCTGTTGGCCTCTTGTGTAGATGCTCCGACGATTTCTGAGCATTTAATTAGAATTTAATTGGTGGATGGTGTCTAATCCTTTGTTTAGTGCAGATTGAATTCTGTCAGCATGAAATCTAGATCCAAGCAAGACTTCCTGCCGATTGCCTCCAACCATTTAATATCAACAATTCAAAAAAAGTGCACCATGACGGTGAACTACGCAGAATGGTGATAGAATTGAGTCTATACCAAAGAAAGGACTAGTCACATGACACCAATTACTAGTATCCAATCAGAGTATCCAATACAGTCATACAGGAGGAGGTAAATCACGAACGCGAATAGCTCAGTGGTAACTTTTGTGACTGAAGGCGGCACTAGGTGACTGTGGTTCGAATCCCAGAGGGGACATGAATTTCTTCAAGATTGAAGGTACACCTGGTTGACTGTTGAGTGTCAACGAACATGAGACTTAGGTGGAAAGCTTTCAGCAGATTGCTCTCAACCATCTAATATCTGTTCGTTTGTATTTTCTGTGTTTTACCTGTTCAATACAGTGTGTGTGTGTGAGATATGATAATCGCCATGGACGACTCTTCGCTTGACAGCTAACTGTAATTGATTAAAGATGTACGTTGAAAATTGTAAAGGACTGGATATTCGTTTCGATAAACTCTTCTTCATTAGGTTCTACATTTATATGTCCATATTAATTGAAGAATTCTTGTTATTGGTTGAAGGATTTCATTATGAGCTTAGAGAGAATCATTAGAAAACCAGTTGAGAGTACTGAACAGTCAGATGTTTCGTCAAAGTAGTTTGGGACTCCTCATCAGTACACACTCATCACCACGGTTCACTAGAACCCTAAGTTAACTACCTGAATAGGGACAGTCGCTAGTGAGCATCAGATCGCGCTACGTCATGAATTGCTAGAAGTAAGAATTCATGCACTGGCCTGTAGTTTGGGTCTCAGTTGCCTGATGGTATACGAGCTGGCTCGCCTTGTTACCAGAAGGTTCTGGGTTCGAGCCATGCATTGTGGATGCGTGCTGCTGAAGAGTCCCAAAATAGACTGACGAGACATCTGTACAGTACTTCCAGCTGGTTTTCCAATGATTCTCTAACTGATATCAACTCATGATAAAATCCTCCAACCAATCAGACAAAATCACTACTAAACCAATAGTTGAAAAATTCTTGGCATTATTAACAAAAATAATTTTTTAAATGGCATTAAATCAGCAGTGTCGACAGTTGATTACATTTCAAAGGCATCAGTAAGAGAGGCTGTCAGATAAATTAAGGAGAGTAGCACAGAATTTATAGGCTTGGTATCAGCTCAGGGTATGGATTGTGGCTGGATGGACCTGTTTATTCAGCACTCAGAGTTCAAGTTGATTTACTTGAATTGTAATGGCTTTTGATGTTTAAAAGTGTTCAATATCTAAAAACATTTGGTAATGTATTCGATATCTGTGAGTCGGTGGCACAGTGGTTAGCACTCTCGCCAACCATTTACATGGTCCGGGGTTCGACTCCCTGCTAACGCATATCTGATATCTATGGTCGGCCTGCAAGTTTGGGCTACCGATATCACATGCTGAAAATTCCATACCTGTACCAAAAAATACGATGTGGAATCAAGCTGCAATAAAAAAAATGAAATGACAGAGAAAGACTCTTCACTACTGCTAGCTTTGTGGCATTGATAACGAAGTATGATTACGGTTTCTACTGAGTTCATCATATTGGCAGGTGCTCCCAGGAATGAAAAATTAAGTTTCTAGATCAACAGCCAATGTATTTTTTTATTTCAGCTTGATTCCGTACTGTATTTTTGGTACTAGTAGGGAATTTTCAGCATGTGATATCGGTAGCCCAAACTTGCAGGCCGACCATAGATATCAGATATGCGTCGGCAGGGAGTCGAACCCCGGACCATGTGCATGGTCGGCGAGAGTGCTAACCACTGTGCCAGCGACGCACAAAGTAAGCAGCTGGCAGCAACTGATAGGTACACTTGAAGATGGCTAGTTTAGATATTTCATCTCTCAGTTTCTGAATCATAACCGGTTGTTTGAAAAATTGAAGCTGCAGCTAACAGGTAATGAGTCTCTAGTATATTATTATCTTTGAACTGTAGTCGTGCATATATAGAAGCTTCATCTTAACAGATATCTGGGAATTTCTATCCCACTGTCTTAACCGTATGTTTGTTTCATTATAGCCATTTTCACTTAACGTGTCTTTTTTACAACTTTAAGTTCGTCTTTAATCGCGTCTTATAAAAACAAATAGATCTAGCCCTATATCTGAGAGTAAATTTATCAAATTTCTTTTATAGCTGAAAGAAACAAGCCTGTGAAAATGCATATACTGACCAGTCGATATATATATGCTTTTCTCATACAAATTCCTTTCTATACCACCATATGGTGTTCTTGCTAATAGGCGGGGGGGTGTAAAGAGACAATTTTACTTCACCATAAATTTAACTTGTAAAAGAAGAGTTTATAATATGTATTTGAAAATTTGTGTTTTTCAACTTCAGTTTTTTCAGTGATATCATATGTTAAAGGCAGCTAGCAGTGCTATTTAACGCAATGAGAGCATACTGGTATCATTCCACTTCATGCCTAAGTTCTGTAACAAGTAACACGTTTGTTTAGAAGGACAAATGAAGCAGACAGCATACACTTTGACAGATAGAGAAGATAAAGCGTAATGAGTTAACACTGAGTTAAATCTTCAAGCCATGCTACTTAATGTAAGGGTAGTAGATACTTTATTATTATTATTACTTTATTGGTTTTGTAGGGATTGTGTTTGATTGGTTGGAGGGTTTCATCATGAACTGACATCGGTTAGAAAAATTATTGGAAAACCAACTGGGAGTACTGAACAGCCAGCTGTTTCGTCAGTCTAGCCTGGGACTCTTCACTAGTACACATTCACCACCATGGTTCGAACCCAGGACCTTCTGGTTACAAGGCGAGCTAGCTCGTAGACCATTGAGCAACTGGGACTCGATCCAATGGCCAGTGCATGGATTCTAACTTCTGTTAATTCATGACTTAGCGCGATCTTGTACTCACTAGCGACTGTCCCTATTTAAGCAGTTAACCTGGGGTTATAATGGGAAGCCGTGACTAGTAAGGCAGGTTGAATGTATGGGCAGTTACTTATTGAAGAAGACATTGCGAAGTGGTCACGCTTGTTTTTCGGTGAATTGGCAGAAGTTAGGATTCATAGTCTGGCCATTGAACAGTGTCCCAGTAGCTGAATGGTGGTATACAAGCTCGTTAGCCTTGTTACCAGAAGGTCTTGAGTTCGAATCCTTTCCCAAACTAGGCTGATCAAAACAAGTGGCTGTCCAGTAATCCCTGATTTTCAATGGTTCTCTAACTGATATCAATCCATAATCAACCAAATGGGGAAAGTGAATTCACTGAGAACAGCTTCCCTCTCTGAACTACGTGTTTTATTAGACAAGCTTAAACAAAAATACGTCAAGTAATATAAATGAGAATGATGACGATAAAAATGAAAATATCAGAAAAAAGTCCACTTTCTCAACCCGAGTCTCATTAACCTTCAATCTGCTTTACATAAAGCCTAAGGGAAGAAAAAAACGATAATCTAGACTGTTGTCATTGAATACCACTTGTAACGACGTCATTGCAGTATAAATAATCATAATAGACTAACTACTATTACGCATTGCCATGGAAAAACATTGAGTTCTTGATTTGTAGTGTAGTGTAAATGTCTCTAGACATGCAATAATTATCGTGTATTATTATTATTATTATCATGTATAACCATAATCTCTTAAACCGATAAGAAGACAGAGGAGAGAGGGAAATCGGTTTCTTCATGTCTGAAATGATAATAATGAATAATGGCGAAATTATACCTTGAAATAAAGAATCTACAATGTCTTACAATTATTTCTTTTTGTAAGGAGTGAACATGCAAGCATTTAAGATATAATATATGCCATCAGTGTATCTTATGGGAAATGGGACATGAACGAAGCAATTAACAATGCTCTCAAACAAGCAATAGCCTATATCCTTTAATATAGTAGATGATTGTTAATGGTAGAATGGAAACTCTGAGAACAGAACTGGCATTTGTTGATGCTTGTGTGTAAGATGTAACTTCAACCTTGATGAGATTAATCTACTGCATGTGTAGTTAAAACGACGCTGCTCAAGTCATTTAAATAAAAGAAACGATTTCCGTTAGATTTTTTATTACTGATGGTGGTCAGTGCATATTTTGGTTTTTATTGGTTACCTTCATCAACTTTGTCTTTTCTCAGGGTCATCTGGAGCCCTAACTTCGCTGTCTACCTCTTCTGTTAATCTGTTTGGTTTCCTCTCGTGAATCTTCCACATTGTGTGTTTGTGTGTGTGTGACATGAAAAATAAATCATCCGTGAAGTAAGGATCTTCTGAGAGCCATTTCATCATTCTAGCGTGTGCATGCCGCCCTACTTGCCATGATCTGACTCATCCATCGTTCAGTGCACGAAAATCAGGAGTATTATAGGTGATAGTAGTCAGACTTGTCATACTTATGTCTTCACTTCAAAGTCGAAGAATTTGAGGCAAGGAGTTGACTACCGTTTTCTGAACATCATCCACCATGGTTAAGCAAGGGACAAACAAGATCTATTCGTAGTTC